ATAATGCCATGTTATCAGATAAGATTCCTCTCCTTCTCTGTATAGTTAAGGTTAGTCTAGATTTCCACTACTTCAGTCAGTTTCAGTCTGTTTTTCCTGTTACTTCAGTTACTATAAGTTTTGTTACTTACTTTCAGTTATTTTTAGTTATTGCTTTGCATACTCAGTACCAGCAGTACAGACGCCCGTTCAGGGTGCTACATTACTTTCCTGCATGTATACATTGAGACGAGGAGTAGATCCCTCACAGTTCCAGTCAGCGGTACAGAGTCTTCAGCTCCTTTCATCTGGAGCTTGAGTGATAGGAGCTTACTTTCCTTTTGTTGTACAACATGGGTAGGCCGGGGCCCTGTCCCGAACATCTTAGTACTCTCAGAGGCTTGAAGATTGTATTATATTCCCTGTGGGTAGATGTATCATCCATGTGGGGCCATATATGTGATGGCCGTGTGGGGCCCCGTTCAGGTTTTAGTTGGTGACCTTATCGGTCATAGATCAGTTTAGCATCAGATTTCATTATTTAGTTATAACTAGACATCATGATAGCCTTGTTGGCCCGCATAGGACTCCTTATAGTTGGTTGTCCTAGTTAGCTGTTTATCTTTTACAGGTGACTATAGGCCTTGTCGGCTAAGTGAAATTGGTGAAAGAGCCAAGATGACGATGTGTAAATGATTTTAAGCTAAGTAATGATGTCGCAAGCTATTAAGGGTAAATGAGCTTATTGAACTAGAATTTCCTTGTTATGGTTTTCCTTTACTTATGTGTATGTTATGAAATATGCCAGTCCAAGCGGAGATTTCATAATCCCTTTCCCTTAAGCCAAACAACAGGCTAGTGAGTTTCCGAGCTTTAATGTCCCTTTGAACACGATCTATAAATCTTGTTGAAATTCTTAGGTCATCTTCGTTCCTTATGATTTATACAAGTCTTGAATAAATGCATTTAAGTGCTATTTTCTATCTTTACATGTTATATGTGCTCACTTACAGTTATACGTTACGAAGGAGGCCTATGCAAGCCACAAATTTAGTATTCATCAGTTCTATGATATACGTGTTAAATTGACCCAGTATAAGCCGTATCAGCTCCATTTATGATTATGATTAAGATTTATTGATCCCGTTGTGGTACACTGGATGGAGGTATTTTTATTTTAACCCGCAGTGGTACATCGACTGGATGAATTTTACCCCTTTGTGGTACACCAGCTGTAGGCATTTTTATTTTTACCCCAGTGTGGTATACCAACCGGATAAATTTTATATGGATTTTGTGGTTGGCTGGCTGCCGGCATTTCAGTTATAGTCTTTATTGTGCATTACTTGGTTGAATTTACACTTCAATATTGAGTTATTGTCAGGTTTCGATTTTCAGAATTCCGAGTTGTTATTATTCCTTATTTCTAGTTCAATCATCATTGTTGTCATATATGTTTATAATTTTTAGCCTTACATACCAGTACATTTTATTCATACTAGCATTCCTTCATCTGGGGACCCCTCCTATAATTATGGTGCAGGTACAGGCCGAGGATCAGATCGTTAGATGTAGTAGGAACTAGATTTCAGCAGAATAGTGGTATAATCCTCTCTTCTAGGAGCCATGTCCTAGTTTTGATTATTTTGAGTTTTGTGTATAGCATGGGGAGGTCGGGGCCCTATCCCATGCATTTCAGTTTGTTTACTCTATATAGGATGATGTGGACTAATTTGTATATATATTTTGGTTGTGTAGTTATGTTGTCTTTCCACTTCTCTGTTTAGCTTTATTGTAGCCTTGTCGACTTTCCAGTTGCTTATTCGTTATTGTTGAGACTTATGGGTCCAAAGTATCTTGGTTGGTTGTGACAGGTGGCTTGGTCGGTCTTAGTATTATATTTACAGACATTATATAGCCAGTTCTCGATCAATTAAAAATTGAGTGCCAGTTGCACTGTACCCTAGTTTTGGGGCGTGAAAAGAGGCTTTCAGTAAGCTATGTATAGATGGTTCAGCGATGTGGGCTCGTGTTTATACTCATGCTCTTATGTTATCCAGACTTTCGCTTATATTACGTTTACGCTTTACTTTCGCTTAGAAATTCCCTTTTCATGCTATGTATGTGCCATGGGTTAGCTTGAAGCCATTCGTGGTTCTAGGTCCCGTGTCTCAGTTCAGGGTCCTAGCTCCGATTGTGACATCAATAATAGCTCTGATGGGTGGTTTTACTAGAATAGGCATAATGAGATCACTGTTTTAGTAAAATGATGTAGAGAAGGGTAGTGACATTGATCCAGAAGAAGCTCAGCAAACTCTTGAAATAGCATAAGTTAATGTGAACAAGGTTGAAGGAAGGAGACAAAAAATTGAGGCAAATCTAGCCATCCGACGAGCTAGAACATAGTGGAGGCTATCAATCCGATTTCAAAACTATTTGGTATGTTCGAATAATAAAAAGTTCTTTTTATAATCCCATTTAGATTATGCCGAGTGAATACAATCAACTACAATCAAACAAAATCCAATTTTGATGTAAAATTTCCAATTAAAAAATGAAATAGAAAATATAAAAAATCAAAAAATAAATATCACTAAAGTGGGTCATAAACCTTATTAGATATCATTAAATCCAGTATCTAATAAGTTTTACCTACTATTGGATTTGAACAAATGACTCCCACTATATGAAAGTAGTGCTCTAACCATTGAGTTAAGTAGATCATTTATCATCCCAAAGAGAACCAAATGAAATTCATCCTGTCAATGCATCATAAATATCATATTACTTATAAGCAATACTAATCTAAGGAATACCATTCAAAGAGATTAAAAATTGTTGATTGTTGATCGTGGAATATTTATCTGGACAAGAATTTATCTAAATGATAAAATATGTATCACAAGCGCTAAGAGCTATAACTCAATTGGTAGAGCAACTCATTTACACGCTCGTCAATGTTTTTCAAAGGATTTCATCATACAATCAGAAAAATTGATCTCTTTGAGAAATCAATTTCTTACTCCATAAATTTGAGGGAACCATAGCCTAACAAAGGGTTCAGTATAATTTGGACGCCCATTTAGGAGCTGCCAAATAGACCCCATAAATGATTGAGATCTTGATAAGGTGAATATGAAGTCTACTCAATGCTAGGCATAATGAGTATAAGGGCCCAAAAAAAAATCTCTTTTCGTCATATGAACTTTAAGGTGTATGAAGTTTCATATTTGATTTTTGAGCAAAACGATAGAGACTTTATTTAACTTAGCTTGATCTGGGACAGAGACAAACCTACTTCAAGAGAATTCCACCTTTAAAACACTTTGGTAATGCTCCCAAATAATGAATCAGAGCACATGGAGTCATTTTCTTATATTTTTTCTATCAAGAAAAAAAGGGCAGACTAACTGATATAAAATATCAGTTAATGAAAGAGCCCAATGCAAAAAAAATGCATGTTGGGTCTTTGAAACAATTCAGATCATTTTAATAATAATAAGTTTGATTTGTTTTATCAAGAAGGTCTACAGTTCGAGTCTGTGTAGCCCTATAAAATAAAAATAAAAAAATAAAAATTGTATAACTATCATTTCTTCATTTTGGTTTCTTTCTTGTAACTAAGTTAAATCCAATTATTCCTATGTGTTTACTCACGGCAATCTTTTAAGCTGGTGAAAGAAAAAACGCATATCAATAGATCCAACAGATATTGATTTTTTTAATTGCAAATAAACAAACCAACCTTTCATCATTAATCTTCAGAGGCGAATTACATTTTCATATCCACAATAAAACAATTAGTGAGAATCCCTTAATTTTGATATCCCCAATCTTATTAAAGTTTGGAAGTCAAATCATTTCACGGGCCAGGTGAACTGAAAAACTACGAAGAGGAATTCACGTGGATTTAGGAAGGGCCTGTTGTATTTGTGTACATGCTAAATTTTTTTTTGAGAAATGAATATCTTTGGTCACTTTTATTGTCAAATAGGTTTTTCCTTCATATAATTTACTTACCTCAACCTAACCAAGCACAACACAAAAAAGGTAGTCTTCTTTTGATGTATTCAACCAAGAAAAATCTCTCCGCCTGGATTCGAGTCCTAATATTATTAAATATTAATAAAATAATAATTAAAAAATATACCAACA